TCTCTCTCTCTCTCTCTCTCTCTCTCTCTCACACACACACACACACACACACACACACACACACACTCGCAGGGAAGCGGAAGATATGAAGAACGAGGAGATGGAGTACAGGGAGAACGAAGAAGGTGAGTGACACTCGCCGTGGAATGCAGAAGCTTCTCGGCGGCGGCGCGTCGACAACAACGTAGTGGCCGCGTCAAGAAGGACGCAGTTTCAAATCGCCACGTCAAGAAGGACACAGTTTCAAATCGAATTCGAATTTCTGGCGCCTCACAGCTGCGGGGGCATTGCAGAAAGACGGCAAACCCTCATGAGGGCATATGGCACAGGGCCCGACGGAAATGGGACCGCCAGTCCAAGGAGGGCGTCCTGGAAAGTTGCGGTCACTACCGACAAGGGCCTGCCGAAAATATGTTTTGGCCCAGGGGCGCGACAGGGTAAACCGGCCGTCGGAGGGGCGCGACGCGAATTATCGCAAAATACAGGGGCGCCAGACAAATTTTCTCTTATTATTATCATAACCATCATTCTAAATTAACGAAGGAGCATTTGGAGTGGCTGCCTGGTGGGAGTCTGGACAAATGATAAAGCATCTGGGGTGTGGGGCTCAGACACAATCTCAATCTTCCTGCAGATTGACACGCATGAACGTCAATGCCACTTCACAGTTGTTCCCATGTGGAATACATGTAGATTTTTTTTTTTTTTTTTTTTTTTTTTTTGACGTTTTAAAAAAAAAAAGTAAAACAGGTCCTTATGGCCCTGGCTCCATTTCCATTCTGGGTAGCGTCAGTCTGATTCCTATTCCACCGGCAGGTCACGTAGATTCTACCAGGCTGAGAATCACAATCAAGGACAAAGAATCACCCCAGACACAGCCACGGACTGAGAATCGGCTCAGACACAGTGTCATCCTTCCAGCTGATTCACAGCCAGGAACGCCAGCAGTTGCTCAGAACGGGGAATGTCAACAGCTGTTCGCAGTTTGCTTTTGTCCTCAGTCTGGGAGAACCTCAGTTTCCCACATTGGAACGAACTCGAGCACACTGACAGACTGAGAATCCGGGCTCATTCCGCACAGACACAGTCACAGACTGAGAATCAGTTTTGACTCCTGAGTCTTCAGAAAACAGCCTCAATCCGTCCTTCGGGACATCCGTTAAAATTGGAACGATACAGAGAAGATTAGCATGGCCCCTGTGCAAGGATGACACGCATAAATCGAGAAAGGGTCGATTTTTTTTCCTGTTATAAAAAAACAAAACAAAAAAAAAACAAAACAAAAAAAAAACAAAACAAAAAAAAACAGCCTCAATCCTGCTGCATATTCAAAGACAGTAACGATGCCAAGAGTATCTCACAGTCCTTCCACTGCGGGAGGACTCGGCTTCTCTCGGACCTAAATAAAAAACAGCTCAGAGACAGACACAGACTGAGAATCCGCTCAAATAGAGCGACACGGACATAGTCACACACTGAGGATCAGCTCACAAACAGCTGCAAACTGAGAATCAGCTCAGAAACAGTCATAGAAACAGTCATAGATTGACAGCTCAGTCACACACTCCCAGTCGTTCTTACCTCTCAGTTCACAGAGGCTGACGATTCCTTTGCCGGAGCTCAACTCCCAGACGTCGATTCTCCCATCTGCTGTTGCCAGAAGTGCACACTGCCCCAGACAAGCAACAGCAGTCACCCTGGTGGGAATTCCAAGAGATGCAAAAAAGGGAGAACAAAAGAGTTAAAGACCTAAAGTTGATGCCATTGAAGTTTTTAAGACTAGAAGAAAGAGGAAAAAAGAGACTCGAGAACTGTTACATCCAAAGATTAAGAGTTCAAACTTCAAATCCAGCCCAGCATGTAAACGATACAGTGGAAAACATGGGGGAGCGGCCTATCTCGGTTGGTTTTGCACGCAAGTGGCAATCGGGAGGTCGTGGGTTCAATTCCCACCACAGCCGCCTGCGGCATGCTTGGTGTTCGCCACCCGAAATAGTTGGCTTGCCCTCCCTAATGGGTCTTGGTAGGGTCCTGGGTTCTCCCAGAGGCCGCCCCTGCCAGTCCTGGCTAGGGGTCCGCCTGCCGCGTGCTTGGTATGGCCGGTAGACTTTGGTTGCCCCTGCTCGGTAGATGTAGCTCTGGCTAGCCCCTGCTTGGTAGATGTATCCCTGGCTAGGCAGATGTGGGTAGATAGCGTCTGTGTTACATACTAATGAAGCGAACACAAGTATGATGCAGAACCCAGAACCGACCAATAACAAAGAGCAATATAATGCAGCGGAAGACTGATGAACATGGATCCGAACTCACATCTGACTCGGACTATACTCAGACTCACACACATACGTTCATTGGGTGAGAAGGCCTGGTGCTCCAAACATGGAAGATGGCGCCAGGGGCTGTACAAACACACATGGACGAAATGTAGGGGGGGGAGACGAAGAGAGGAAGAGGAGATGGCGCCAACACAATGTCACCGAAACAGTAATCACGAAATGTCGAAGATACAGGATCTCGAAATGCCGCTGATGTCGGTTCTCCAAGTAGTCATCCCAACATCCTAGTCTGAACCAGTCTCAGTCCTGAAGTCACTGACAACCCACCATCGATCTCTGTCCAGATAGTAACCAAGAAAGTAGAAGGTTAGGAGAAGAAGAAGAAGAAGAAGAAGAAGAAGAAGAAGAAGAAGAAGAAGAAGAAGAAGAACCGAGAGGGCCAGAGGAGAAGGTGGAGATGGAGAGGTGGGGAGGAGGAGATTGGAGTGTCCAGGCACCAACCTGCTGACGTAAGGTGCCGCCTTGGAGCTGCTGAAGACTGGCCCTTCACACTGGAGCTATGGCGCCCACAGGTAGGTAGCAGGTTAGTCTCTACTCTCTCTCTCTCTCGCCTCTGCAGCTGGCGTTACACCTAGCGCTACTCCTGGAGCTGCGCTAAACCCAAAATAGTGCAGCGCTGATGCTCCTCAAATGCCACGGCCTCAAGTCCCCTGAACAGACCACTGGCCAGTACTAAGTACCGGCAGTGGCCTGTTCGGCCTGGCTGCTGGTGAAGCCGCGCTGTGATCTGAACCGTCAAGTCGATCTTCGGTTCAGATCGGACCCGCGGGGGAAATGGCAGCCTCAATCTTCAGCCGGCAGGTTCAAACCAACGTTTGGGCCGGTTTCCCACTTAGGGCCTGCAGCTGTAGTGGTTAAGAGACTCGGCTCTTGAAGCTGAGGGCGCCGGTTCGAATCCGTGCGTGCACGGAGGAGGTCCTCTGGCTGATAAAGTGCAAACTGTACTCTAACCGGGTAACCAGCCTGGAAATTATACCTGGATGTGGTGGCCCGTGGATAAACCGTTGTATAAGCAGTTGTGCTGGATGAGAGCGGAGTGTATAAGCAGTTGTGCTGGATGAGAGCGGAGTGTGCGACTATTGCCTGTGTGGCGGATGCCTTGTGTGGTGTTGTGTGTGTGTGTGTGAGTTGAAGGACACTACAGCCATGCAGGGGTGGGGTGGATATCACGACCGGCATGGATCCACTTTTATACACCGTGCCATGGCTGGTTAAGAGACTCGGCTCTTGAAGCTGAGGGCGCCGGTTCGAATCCGTGCGTGCACGGAGGAGGTCCTGTGGCTGATAAAGTGCAAACTGCAGCTGCAGACCCGGGTCTGAACCGGTTTGCTGGAGGCCTACCGTCGCCCTTTCCAAAGGTCCGGCCTTCAACCCAGGCCGGACTGGCCCAGCGTGACCACGGTCTGGGATAACCCCCTAGACCTAGCCGTCACGCCTAACAGGGCCCGTTTGGAATCCAGTATGTAACCTGTCTCTTATACACATCTAGATGTGTATAAGAGACAGGTCTTAAGATCGCGCGGAAAACCGGGCCGTCGGCCGGTAGGCCTCGGGCGGCCCGGATCGGCCAAACGCTGCGCACCGAATAGCGATTTCTATAA